GTGGCTGGGAGGAGCTACCAGAGACCTTGGGCAGACAGGGAGGGCCCCGTGGATGACAGTGGCTTTGTTATGGGACGAGTTCTCAGGAATGATCTGGGGAGAACCATGCAGAATGCCCGAGAGAGGAGATGATACTTGCAGGTCACCATCGTTTCTGTTAAGTTTCAAACCCGGGACAAATGGCTGAGGTGCCTATTTAACACACCAAAGTGGACCTGCCGCCAGGTCCTCCCAACATCCCTCAGTCCCTGTTACAGGGTATGGCTGGCATACTCTGTCCTCTACCCTGAACTTTTCAGCCCAGGGACTGCGCTGCCCTTTACCCAGAGGCTCTTCCCTATATAATCCAGAAGACACTTCGGTTACCTGCCCCTTTTTGGACCTTTGGCCTCACGGTTGCTGCACCTGGTTCCCCTCTCTCCCCTCCCCCATCTCCTCACATGGCCCAGCTCAGTCTGGTCATGTTCACTCTGGACTCTCCCAGATGTTCCTGCCTCTGGCTATGCTCTCCCACATAGCTACGATAAACTTTCTCCTCCACCACACCTAGGAGCAGTCATGTCCTGTCCTTTCCTTTCCTTTTTCAGTTCATTTTTTTTTTCCATTCAGTTTCCCATTCATCAAGCACACGAGCCTAAAAGGTGAGAAGAGAGCAGTGGGTTTAGGGAAGGCAGCGAGGGAGAAATAAAGCGAAGAAAGATGATAGACAGTAGCTGTTCTGAGGAGGGCCGCTGGAGGGTCGAACTGGCCGGGGGACAGAAACTTGGTGGTCCCGTATCTACGCCTCAAGGCAGTGTCGCTCTGCCAGCGGAGGGTTGCTGGTGGGCTGCAGGATAGGAGAGACACATTTAAGACATTCGATGCCGTGGTCCTGCGTGGCTCTGGCAAAGACTGGAGCCAAAGTGATGCCAGTGGCGTGCCATCCTGAGGTGCAGGCATGAAGGACGCTAGGAGCTGAAAGGTTCTAGGCCAAGCCTCTGAGTGGGACCGAGCATTTCCACCACTCACCGCTGTGTGACTCTGGGCAAGTCCATCTCTTTGAGGCTTAGTTTCTGTAACTATTAAACAAAGGGTCAGTAGCCGTTTCCAGGAGTTATTAGGTGGATTATCTGAGTGTCTGTTAGGAGGATCGGTCAGGGGATGGCTCTGCTGCCTGTGTGATGTGGACGTGGCCAATGTTCAAGCTTCTGCTAAGGACATCAACCGGAGACCATGTGTCATCGAGTGAGGACATTTCAGTCTTCTTCTCAGTCCTTACTCTGCATATTTACATTTTGGAGGTTCCTCAAGCTCTTCCCTTCCAGTTGTGCATGGGGGTGGGGAGAGCCCATGCACCCCTGTACCCTGTACATTTGAGGTGAGCCCTGTACCCCTTAGCAATGCCCTCTGAAGGGTCTGACACACCAGAACACCATTGTGTCAGCAGAAACACAAATGCCACCATCTCTCATTTCAAGGGTAAAGGAGGCCTCGGGAAGACTCGATTTAAAGCTTCGATTGTTTCTTGAGGCAAAGCCTGTGAGTAGAGGGTGGGAACTAAAATCAGACATGGCCAAGTTGGTGACTTCAGGTCCACTCTTCGTACAATGGAACTTGGGAAGAAGATTTCATGGTCCCGCTCCTCACATACTACCCAATCATGTCTTTAAATCGCATTTACGTTCCAGTCTGATCATGGGGCACTAGCATCCCTGTGGGCACAAGCCTGGATTTATGGTTGGCAAGAAGCATCCCTTGGAGTTTTGAGCTGACATGCAACTCTGAGGGGTCAGCCAGGATCCATCCTGCACCCCCCCACCCCCACCTCCCACCTCCCCACCCCACCCCCGTTTTCAGCGGCCCCTCACACCAGGAGGGGAAAGGTTGCTGTTGATTGGATCTTCTCTGTGCTCTTGTATCCAAGGCTCTCAGTTCTCACTAGGCTAGCAGGCTGCAGAACCCAGCATCAGACTCATGGCCAAAGGCCGAGCATACCAACAACCAGCGATCTGCAAACACCTGGAGCAAGTGCTTGACATTCCAGCCACCAGCCTGGCTCTTCTGTTCTGGGTCATACATCGGTGGCAGGCAATTCCCAAACTTACCAGATGGGCTTCCTTTGCCGGGAACTCAACCATTGCAGCCACGGTATTCGTCATGACAGCCCCTTTCACTGAAAGGCACTGGGTGTGAAAGTCCTGCTTCTCTGTGCAGTTAGCTGAGGAGACCCGGCAGGGAGTCTGAGTGGCTTCTGCCCTCAGTCCCTTGAAAACCATGATCCTTCTTCACACGGAGGCTTTTCCGAGAGTGCGGATTTGCTTGCCCTGGTTTGATGACAGCAGGATGTAAAGTCCATCTTTCTGGGTTCTGAGCTCTCGCCTCCCAGTTAGGCTTGCTGTAGGTAGCAGGGCTAGCTGGGTCGACGCAGGGATGGAGCAGGCTTAGGCTATATTGCATGAAGTTGGCTAGTAGAGTGCTATCCTGTACAGCGGTTGCCAGGAGAGGCAACAGGCTGTCATTGGATAGTCACAGAAACCCTTTCTTTACCATGGCATGAACAAAAGCATGCCTAGACACCAGGTAAGCCCTGGAGGTCTGTCCTTGTGCTGAGCTCTTGGTCATGTGGGAATTGCCCCTTATCCACAGGAGAAACTCTTCACTTGCTTCTCTAAGCCCACTGGGTCGTCTCCATCCAAGGCCTAGCCATCTCTGCTCTATCCCTTAGAGATGTTTCTGAGAAGAGCTGTTTCCCTATAGGGTCTTCACAGCCCCTTGGAGTGTACTCACCAGCCTGTACCGTTCTTCCCAGGATCCTCAGGGGTGGGCCTTTCTGGTTAGCTGTTTGCTAGTGTCCAGTCCAATAGCGGGAGAGGTGCACACCTGGATCTCCTCCAATCCCTCACCTCATAATTGTCTAGGAAGATACATGAAAATCCTAGGTAGAGTTCCACCCTCCCTCTCTGCAAGGACACTGATCGACTTGACCTGCGGTCTGGACATGGGTATTAAGGAGCGTCCCCAGTTATCCTAATGTATGGACATGGTGGAGACCCATCAGTGTGTACTGCTCATGGACCAATGAGGAAGCTCTGCCAAAGTGACACCATGTTTGCTCGTTTATTTATTTATTTGATGTGTATGACATGACAGATTCTCAACCCCTATCTACTGGAAGGAAAGCTCCTGGCAGGTATTTCTCCTCTGGTGTTTGGAAGCACTGAGTAACTCCTCACTAAGACTTAAGGAATTCCTGCCTCCATAGACTGGCGATTCCCCGTTCCCCAGCTGCTAAACTCTGTCCTCAATGTGTTCTCACCTACACGCTCTGGTCCCCCATAGTTGTCAGGCACCAATCCTGAATCTGTACATCAGTTTTGGAGGGGTCAGATGGCATAACCAATATGCATACCCATCTGTCTACCATCTATGGCTCTGCCCAGCACCGCTGCATAGTTTTTAAGCCCCCAGGTGACTCCTCTCATGCATTTGTGGTATTACTCACTGGATAGCTCATTCTACCTGACTATCCACATTGGCCAAAGTTCAGGGCCTCTTCCGCACTGAGGGTTTCTGACATTGTGGAAAGCAGTCATGGGTAAGTCTGCGGATGCCCTGTGTGAGGTTCCAGACAGCTTTTCAGCAGGCAGATGAGACGTTTTAGACCAAACTATCCACCAAATACCAATGACAGGATTAAAGTCTCATCCAAGGCAAAAGCAGCCCTGCACAGAATTTGATCTTAAAGCATCGGTCAAGGTTCAGTTCCTTTCCCAGGTCACAGGAGCTGTGAGACTTCAGGGGATCTGCCACCTCTATGGAGAAACTAGAGGAGAGGTTATAGAAACATGGTGTGAAGCAGAGATCTGACCCGAGTGCTGTCTATGTTTCCTGGTGAGAAAGCAGGGGTGACTGAAGGCTGTTCATCCTGTACCCATAACCACCAGGGAACCTGGGCAGGAAGTACAATTACACAGACTTCTGCTTGCAGAGGGAGGGGAGCGGCCTTTGTGAGGCTAAGTGGGTCTGTGCTGGAAGAAACAGGTTTGTTTCTGAAAGATCCAGCTGGGGCTCAGGATCACTCTGGGCTTGTGCTCTGGCTTTGTCTGACAGCTCATAAAACTCAGCAGTGATTCTGAACTTCTAACTTTATGGCTTGGAGGAAAATGCCAGGGGCTGGTTATCAGTGCCTTTCTCCCCCACAGCTTTCCCTCACCGCCACACCATCAGGAAATCATGAAGATACCTTATTTCTGTGAGCCAAAGGATGAGGGCCAACTGATCAGACCAGTGCTTGTAGGAGTCGGATGGACAGCGGGGGCCATGGAGACTTCAAAGCCAGTTGGGTAGCTGCAGGGTTGAGCTGGGCATGTGGGGACTGTTTGGTACAGGGCTCATTATTCATGCTGCCCCTTTGGCATGCCAGACTTTGGAGATGCAAATTCCTTAAGCCCTCCCCACACCGCTGTCCATCCTTGGGTGACTCCAGAGCTTAGCATATAGTGAACAAATAACATGTGTCAGCTAGCAGAATGAGTAGGGCAAATATCCCCTCCAGTCAAATGTATGAGGAAACTGTTGTTTTTCACCGCACTCAAAAGGGTTAAGTAAGGTCCAAGGTCTCACAGGTAAAACCTTGTGTGTGTGTGTGTGTGTGTGTGTGTGTGTGTGTGTGTGTGTGTGTGTGTGTGTGTGTGTTATAGGGCGTACATACCATACGAGATAAAGCTCAAGGTCTCATTTTGTATCATTTCTCATGTGTGCATTATCAGGTCTGTGGATTTATAAATTTTCTGAAGTGGATGGGAAAGACCGGAGATGGCAAGAGGGTCGGAGCTTCTAATGGGTATCTGATAAAATACGTGCCCTGTGGAAACAGAGGTATGTGGAAGAAAGGACACACCCTCACCAATGCGGAACCAAGACGAGAGAAAGGGAGGGGAAGGATATCAACTGGGTCTCCCATAGACATTTCTACCCCCGCCCACCCGGACCCAGGTAGGAAGAAAGGACAGAGCCAGGGAAACTGTTAAAAATTATTTAATAGAAACTCCAATGTCAAAATGTTAACAATAAACAAAAATACACATGTATAAATATGTATATATATAATTAGACCTGTATATTTTCTCAGACCTTTTTCAAAATGGAACAGAATCATCAGAACATCTCGATAGTCAAATCAAAAATAATATTCAAGCCACAGTCCACGGGTGCCATGGGATTGGTACTGCTGAAGCACTCTGAGGGTTCAAGGAATTCCATTCAGGAGAGAGTTGGGGTTTTGACAATGTCCTTTTTGGGAGACACGGGAAGAAAGGGGAAGAGCGCCCGACCCTGTACGGTGTACCTGTTCTTAGCACCGGTAGCCACGACTGTCTAGAGGCAGCTCTCCCGTCAGGGGCTCAGCTTCTTAAATCTATACTGTGTGGGTCTGCCTGCCTCAGATTCCCCAGACTCAAAGCTCTTGGGGGAGTCCCTTGTGACCTTTTCCTTCTACAGGCTGAGTGCCAAACAGTGGTTTGGGATGCCATCATGGTATACTGATTTGCACCAAAGCAGTGGTGTTCCAGTGTCCAACATACCAGGAGATCTCCATGGTCACACTTAAGAGTTCAGAGAGAAAATAATACAACCCTTGAACTGTTTTATGTATCATTGCCTTTTCTTTTCTTGCATGTCTCTTACTATAAAGTACATGGACATACATGTCAGTGGATTGATGTACAGGAGCGGATACCTCACATGGTAGCCATGTGGAGAGGTAACAGGCCCTGACTGCCTCACAGGTCCATGTGCAGGCAGCACAACCCCTCTGTGTTCCCAGGCCCCCAAGCTGATTTCTTAGGTGCTCAGGAGAGCCAACGAGGCTGAGGTTGAATGCTCCGCCAGGAGCTTTCCCTTGAATCAAGGCCATGTTCGTAAATAAACACTAATATCTATGGGAGGAGCCATTAGGCAGCCTTTGACAACTGGCGTGGAGGCTGTTTGACCATCTCTTGGCAATGTGATGGAGAGGACTGGGAAATGACCCAGCTCAGAAAACGACCAGAGGGAGCCTTCATTTTCAAGTGGGTGAGTGAGAGGCCACATGTTCCATTGGCTTCCAGCATCAGCATCAATACAGGCTAGAGGTAGGCTTGGGGGATACTACAGTGGGAACCAGAAGACACAGAACTAGAAATCCTTGGGTAAGGAGCCAGAGGACTATCTGGGAAAAGAGTGGGCATTTGAACAACAACAAGAAAAACTCCCTTCCCTCCAGTCTAGAAGGTGGGTGTGGATGTCAGGCATGTCTGGCTGCACCCAGGAGGGCCGGTGTAGGCAGCCTGAAGCTGCAAACTGGGAGAGTGGCAAGGGAGGGCTTCCTGGAGTCCCCAAGCTGAGGCCCAGCGCCATGCGGCTAGAAAAACTGCCCTCGGCCTCAAAGCCCACCAGCCTCTCGGGAACTTCACCCCGCGAGTCTTGACTTGGTTTTCCAGCCATGCTGACTAATTGCTAATATTCGAATGCATCTAATGCTGCTTCTTCTGCCTAAAATTTCATTTTTTTGTGTGTGGAGGGGGGGGGGGGGGGGAGAGAGAGAGAGAGAGAGAGAGAGAGAGAGAGAGAGAGAGAGAGAGAGAGAGAGACCAATGCTGCAAACCCTGAACAGGTTCTTTGGAAACCTAGGGCACTGCAAACAGTCAGATTCTGCTTATCTGGGGCCTTCCACGACTCACTCCAGGGGAGCTCCCCCGCAATGAAAGTCCTCACAAGGTCCTCAGTCACTGTGTGGTTTTGTGGATATTCTGCATTTGCACACAATTTATCTGTACTTTATGATTAAAAAAACAAAAAACAAACCAAAACAACGTCCACCCAAGATCCCCAACTCCTCTGTCCTTGGCAAGACTCAGGAATGTTCTTGTGACCTAGGAGAGGCCTGGCTGCTTCCCTGGGTCTGTGCAGGTGAACTAACCCTGGGAAAGGCTATGCAAAAGGTTATGCCTCTGGTTTGAACCAGACACTAAATAGGGAAGCTCTCACCACTTCCTAAATACTTATTTTAGGGTACACTCTGATCTCTGGGTCTAGGCCAACCTAGTCCCAAGAGGTATTTTTAGCCACCATGTCTCTAAAGACAGATCAGGATGAACTAGCTCTGTCTTCCACGGATCTCTAAACCAGACCCAGCCCAAGCTAAAGCCCTTGAACTCCAACAGCTTTTAGAGACAGGAAGAGAAGTTAGAGGAGGAGAAAGGATGGGTGGGCATAGACCCTTCTAGACAGCAGCTGAGTGTTTCCAAAGGAAGGCAATCCCCACTCTGATCACATCTAGCTCCCAGGGACGACACTGAGTGGAGAGTGCAGAGAAACTCTCCTTCATCTCCACGGAATCCGCAGCAAAGCCCCAGAGCCCAGTCTGCCCCCCTGTTCTCATCCTCTGTTCTTCTCTCTGCTCCTCCTAAGCTCAACCCTTTCCCTGCACGCAGGCCCCAGATGGCCCTCTCCACCCATGAGAAGTCCCATGCTGTCCTCTCAGCATGGATGACTCTTCTGGTACTTGCCCTCTGTGCCCAGACAAATATGGATTTTGCCGTTACTATCTGCAAGCTTCTATGCCCAAATCTGGTTGGCTACCGCTGCCACCTGACCCCACAGTATCCTTGATTTCCCTAAGGGAGTCCTTCGAGATTGTTCCCCTTTCATGGTAGGCTCCTGGAGGGTGGCAGCTGTGTCTGGCTCACCTCTGTATTGCTTGGCCATTGGCTCAGGGCCTGGAGCCTACCAGGTGTCCAAATAATCTGGGGAATGAACACGTCCTTAGGACTGGGAATGAGAGAGCGAAATATGCTACACCCAGGACAACCGGAAAGGGACTCTAACTCACACATCGTTAACAGACTGTCCCAGGGGAGTTGCTGCGATGTCACAGTCAAGGCCACACGGACGAATGGGAATGTATGAGCAATGCTAGGGCTGGACCTGGCATGTGTCTTCAGTTCCACTGTGGGCTGAGAAAGGACGTGAGTCAAAACACCCACCCAGAGGCCCAGAGTCATCAGGCACAGACGGGCGCAGGGTGAGAAGACCGCGCCCACACCTTGGTGCTCCCACTGGAGCTGACGCAAATTTATGCAAACGCAGTCGCTAGGGTTTCGGGTTTAAGCATCCTTACAGTTACATGGATATTCCCCCAGACATTATTGTTGTGATTACAGAAGGGTCAAACATAGCTTTTACCTCCTCCCCCAGCCTGTCTATGATTAAACATTTACGTTTTGTTTATCCGTCTATCTTTGTGTATGTGTTAAAAGAATAGATCCAAATTTAAAACCCTAATAAGGCAACTGCCTGAGTCTACTCCAGGAATTTTTAACAAATTTACGTCTTTCTTTGGATGGAAAAATATGGCTTGGAATCTCTGGCAAAACTTCCTTTGCTCACTAGCCTGTCAAAGGAGAAGAGTCCCTGAAGGTCTGGACTGAAATGCCAGGCCAGGGGCTGCCTTTTTTTTTTTTTGTTCTTTTTTTTAAACTCCTGGGTCTGAGCCAAGTGGCCTCAAGGTCTAATTTTCAACTCTGGAGAGCTGAAGGCAGGCCTGGCTAAGTTTCTGCTGTTCTTTTTACTTTAAATCTTAGTCAAATCTAAGAGCTTGGTCTAAAAATAACCCTTGGGAAGAGAAGATTCAGGGCAAAGAGACAATGTCATACAGGAGACTTCAGCCGAGTGGGACTTTCCTGACTTAAGGAATTTCTCTGACTTCCAAGAGATAAGAGCCATTCCCACATCATCTACAAGGAATCTGAAAGCTGCTCGGTTAGAAGCGATCGGGATCCTGAGACCTATTTCACAAGGAACTTGGACAGGAAATTCTTTTGAATCTTACAAGGTGAGTTAATGAGGGTGGCTGTGGGACCCCTTAAGTAACACCCTCACCAGCTGCTGTGGAGATGAGTCATCTTTTACCCCACACATTTTATGGAGCAAAAAGAGATGAACTCTGTGGAGTTCCTGAGCGGGCCTGACCTTGGACCACAGCGGCTCTCTCTAGGCCACCATTGAGAGTCCTATCAAGGTGTGGTGCTTAAACTAGCCTGGAAAATCCAGACTCCTAGCCCAGCAATCAAAGAGAAACATCCAACTGTAGCCCATGGAAGTCAGTGGTCCAGGCATTGTCTCTCCTCCTCAGAGTTTCTCAGCTCTCTCTGCAAAGGTGAGGCTTCTAGCCTTCAAAAGGCAAACCTCTGAAGAGACAAGGCTAGGAGACCCAAAGAAACCACAGCATCTCAAACGTGGTATAGATTGCATCCTTTCTCAGAAGCTGAAGGGACATGTCTAAATCACCCCAAGTCTTTTCCCTCTGTCACCAGTGGCCTCTTGGGTTTCTGTACAGCTTGTAGGATGAGGGAAAGCCAAGTAAAACTCCCCATGAGGAAAGCAAGCTGGCAAGGAGCCAAAGACAGACTCTAGAAGGTGGATGCCCCCAAAGGCTTTTTTCACAGTGTTGCAAGGTGTGTAGTAATAATAGTAATAACACACTTGGGTGACATCTTCCCTTCTTTCCACGCGAGCATTTTCATTGGACAGATGAATTCAACATGTAAGACACGCGACTCAGAACATAGAGGGTAAAAAGACCGTTTTGAAGACTACGTGAGATAAAGACAGAATGTTAAGGGCAGCATCTGGCCCAGAGTGAGCAGAAAGAATGACTGTTAGTTCCCTTGCCTCTTCCCACCCAAGATGAAATCAGATCTCAGATGTGAGAGAGGACCTTCTGAAAACCATAGCATCACTAATGGGTCCCAGGGTTTGTCACAAGGGACAGATTTTTCTCTCATAGATTTGTGATTTGTTTTCCTGGAGACATAAGAATAGAAAAGGTGACTGTGGAAATCCAAGGCGTCGTCCCCATTAGAAGAATGCATCTGTTTGTCTGCAAAAGTGATTCGCAGACCTCATTCAAGGAATTCCAGCGGTTCATCCCAGAGCAACTGTAGAGGGCTCACACAGCTTTGCGGAGGCACACGGGTGCCTGCCAATCCACCCATGACATCCTGAAGTCCACTTTCAGTCACCTTTCCATTATGCCTTTTAAACACATACTCCTTTACCCACCGACCGTACCTTATTTTTCTACTGGAGTTTTAAGCAACTTAACAAAGAGATCAACTTGTAAAGAGGTATAAAGAAATACAGCTCAGAGATAGCCTTCTGGTGGAAAAGTCAGGCCCCTCATCCCTTATTTTTGAGAGAAGGGAGAGGATTTCAATAACAATTGTTATGTCTTTTATAATGAAAATATCTGGATTTTAAAGTCTAGATTCTTTATATTGTCTTGGATTAAGAAGGTGATATTTTCTCTTATTATAAAACAAACATGTTTAATAAAGTTTCTTTTCCTGGGACCAGTAGAGACGGAACAACTTTTAAATTCTCACCCAGTGTCTAAACGGGACTTATCACCATGTCAAACTGCACTGTAGGTGAATGAGGTAAAATTCAGAAGAGGTATCATCTGTTTTAGCCGGGTTACAGGACTACTCCTGCCAAAAGAGAAACGAAAGGGTGGTGATGAGGCTGGGTGGCGGACAAAGTTACAACTCAATGTTGGAGGCCATCCGCCTGGGATCAAGGTGTGGGGCTTACCATCCCCAGGTTGTTATCTCTCCCATACGGTCACTTGAGTGCTTGAGTACACCCAAGACACAGAGAGCCTTTATACCTTACAGCGGAGGAACAGGCGGCGCCGGGCGGGGGCTGGGAACCAAGGCTATTCCTGGGGACGTATTTCTTGAGTCATCCTAGGCACAGCAGACAGGCAGAGACCAGTCACTGTGTGGCTGTTTCTGGGGGCTGACCTACTTTTCTCATCTCCGGACTTTGTACCTTCTTTGTCCCTAAATAGACCATAATGTCACTCTATGCTCCCACTTAAGCCTGAGGCTAGGAGGCCTCATGGAGGTAAAAGCTTCTTTTGAGTTTGTCTGCCAGCAAGAAACACGGATTCAATTATGAGAGCGGTACTCTGTGAGCCTGAATCTCTGCCAAGCCGAAGAAAGCTGCGCACACACTGCTGAACCTCTACAACTCTACAGAGATCTACAAAGAGGACACGAGGCATGTGTAACCCGGCTGCGGATTTCACCAGCAGACCCACTCCACCCACTGGCCACTAGACCAACTGCCTTAGCATACAGCCACACTAAAAGCTTTTCAAAATATCCTCTGTCCATTTTTCAACAATTTCCTTCCTTCCCTTCTTCCCTCCTTCCAACTCCCAAGTTCTACAGACATGCTAACTAGCAAGATATACCAGCATATATACTGGATAATTCTTTTCTTTATACCTGAGACAAACTGCTTAATGTCCTGATGTGGGGGAGGGGTAGATACTTTTAATTTAGATTCTTCCAGAAGGCATAGAAAAATAAAGTACAAACACAAATCACTTGACAACTTTATGATTCAAACCAACAAATGGAAAACAGACAGTTTTGAGTGTTGCTAACACAGTTAAGCATTTCATGCCAACCCACTCAACCATCCCATTGCATGGACCTATTTCTAGAGGTACCAAATGTGTCTGAGATGAAATCACTTCTGTTCAGCAAAGAGGTATCCAGTGTGAAACAGGGGAGACAGAACCGTGAAACACTGCCGTTTCCTGAACAGCAGTTAGGATTTTATTAACACTTAAAAGTCAGGCTCCCAAGAAACATGTGGAACACCCGAAATGCTAAACGTGACTGAGGAAAAGGACATGGGTATCATCTTTGGGTAGAGGGTGGTGATTTTCTGGGAAGACACTGTCTTAGACACCAAGGAGAGGAGTCAAATGGAAGACATCAACATTCGCTTCATTCTCGATGGACAGGAACATGAGATTCCGGAAAAGGCCATCCACAGAACAGTGTGCAACGTCTCCAGTGAACAAGCCGAGGTGGGGTTTAGCAGTTCATTTACAGTTGAGGGAAACTATTTTCATCCTTTGGCCAAAAACCATACTAGGGGAGGGAACTTAAAACCCTGGACTACTCGACTCTCCCTGCATTTTTCTGCTTGAAGCTGGATAAAAAAGCCTTAGCTTTTGGCTGCAACTCTATTTACGTAACAACCACAGCTGCTCCCCAAAATAGCTGCTGCTGGCTGCAAGAATTATGGGATTTTGTTGCTTACACTCGAGTCCATTTTCTAGAGCACTTGACTGCATTTTCTTTCCCTCACGTCTGTGGCCTTGGGCCTGACAGGGGATGAAGAGTTTTGCCATTTTGTGGACGGATTTGAAAGTCAAGGCTCATTTTGGCAAGAACCAATTTAGCTTTCTATTTTATTCTATGGTAGACAATCTTTTGACAACTGGGAACATCTTAACGATCTCCTCTGTAACTATTCCACCTTCCAAAGGTGGCAGTGGGGCTGATAGTGAGGCCCTTGAAACTCACAACCCTCAAAGAGAAAAACACAGCATTCCTGTGTGTGTGTGTGTGTGTGTGTGTAGGACAAACCCAACCCTGGACTGCTGGCATGGCATTTAATAGGGTGCCCTTCCCTGAAAGTAACAAAGAGAACCCTCGTCAAAGCTATCAAACATGATAAAAAAATACAAAAGTTATTTTCTCCTTTTGATTGCTATTTACTTGTGACAATATTTGTTAAAAATATTACTTCTGTCTTTGAGAAGAGATCATTCTCTTCATATAGTATGGAAAAATAAACTCTACTGAACACACACTCAGCACTCCCCACCACCAGGGGCTTTTGGCTTTCACAACTCCAAATAACGTCACCTGTGTCCATGTCCCGTTTTCCAGTAGGCAGACACCTTTTACCCACACTACCGGTGCTGGAAACACAATGGGAGGGAGTGGCGAGGCTCATGGAACATTTTGAAGGGGAGAATTAACAACGTGCTTTAATACCTAACAAAACCAAAGGTCACGGTGGTTTCCAGCCCTCCTAAGAAGTCACAGGGTGTCCTCTCATCACGGCCCTTCCAAACCATGGTCGATATCAACAGGAGGGTGGGGAGCCATTGAGGCCAATCGTCAGAGTCACTATGAGGAAACATTTATCTTCCACACCTAGGGTCATCTTAAAATGCTGAACTGGATGAATGGGAGAAGACAAGGATACATAAAAACAGTAAAATGTTTATTTTTTAGAAAAAAAAAAGGTGAGGAAGAGGGATTCAAAATGATTGTGGTCACACTTCCATCTGCAATCTGAGCAAAGCCAACGCTACAAGCTTAATCCTGCACTAAGAGTCCTGGTAAGTGGAACCACCTACTGCCCGCTCGTCTGTCACTTCCGGGGAGTCAGGTCACAACATGCTTTTAACCAACTGTGGCTCTTCTACAGAGAGCAGAGAAACAAGGCTCACCACGGCCACCATCCCATCTTCAAAGACCCACATTACCAGTGAGAAGCAAGGCTCAGGCCATCTCTGGACCACGCGGAAGAGATGGATAAGGAGGAAAGAGGGGAGGAGAAGCTTGACTTCAAAGCAGAACCGGGCTAGAAGTGAAGTCTGTATCAGAGTTCGTCACTACCTCATCTTATAGAAAACAGGCTGGAGAGCATCGGAAAACCAATAGGATCTTTAAGGTGAACTGCAGAATTTTGCTGCATACTTGGACACAAGAGAAGTGAAAAGTTGCAACAAGTTTTAACTAGCAGCAACAAAGAAAGTTCCAGAACAGTTTTTTTTTTTTTGTATGTGTGTGTGTGTATGTGTGTTTGTGTTTAGCAATATTCCTTTGCAGGTTCATTAAGAAACACTGTAATTTAATGGGGCATACGATATGGAACGGTCTTCGTTTGTTATAGTGCTGTTCAGTGAAGAGAACCAACCTTTGCAAAGGTTTCAACTGGGGTGTAACCTATTTACACAGTAGTAGCTCCTGGTCTGAGACGGAGAAGTGATGCTATGTGATGTCCTCTTCTTCAGAACAATAATCCCGACCCTGGGGAGAAAAAAGAAAAAGGACACATGAGTAAAAATCTCCAGCCAGGGCCTGAAACAGTTACTGGTGATCCATTGCTTCCAGCTTCAGTCTGCTTTGTAAAGGAATCTAGCCTTCACCAGCAGACATGCGCTGGGTGATTTTTAAGTTCCACTTATCTCAAGGCATGGCATTCCAAGCCTGTAATAAGCTCTTTTGAAATGCTGGCAAGAATTTATGTCAACTTATATTACAGGTGTGCACGAGATGTTGCTTACATGAAGAAGTTACGGAGATGAAGCAGCCAGGAGTCTTCTCTCTCATCAGGGAAATTCAACACTCACTTTCTGCTGTTCACATTCTACAGATCCAGCCCCACACTTGGAACTTAAAATGTCAAGGAAGGAGGAAGTGTAATCAAGGGATGCCTGAGTTTTAACTCACTCGAAAATGGTTTAAAGGAAAAGCAAACAAGGGTTTTATGAACATGTGTGACAGATCTGGGGCTGGGCCTGGTCCTCACGAATGACTTACAAGGACAAGAGGTTTTTGATGTGCCTGCCAGCAAGCAGGTTCTTGGCAGGCTTAGGGACAGTAGGGAATGGCTGCTTTGGAGCATCTTTTATCCCCTTTCCACTATGAAGACACAGCTGGGGCCAGGATTGGAGGCTCCTGGATCTGACCTGGCGGGGTTGTCTTGATCAAAGGACGTAGCTTTCCAAGGACAAGTCTCCACAAATAGCACAGGACAAAAGTACCGTCCTGTTTCATCACAATGTGGCGAAAGGTCAAGTTGGGTTATTCTGTTCGTACCCTTCACGTATTTTTCCTTTCAAATACCAACTAGATGCTCTATATTTGGGGACAGACACTCCTTTAAAAACAGAAATGTTGGCTCTATAACATATGAAAATAAGAACCTCAAATGATGTGACTAAAAGTTGTATACGCCAATGGATGCTCCTATAGCTTATCTTACTTAGATAAGCCAGCCACTTCTCCACACTATTTTCCTGTGAACTGCTTCCCAGGACATTTATTTCAGGCAAGTTCCACTGACATTTTGTTGCTTCTTTGATTTTTGTTTAGTCTATCTCATTTTTGTAGTTGAGGTGCGTGAAGTATTGGTAGCAAACAAGTCTTTGTTTACTGTGTATATACTCCTTTGATTTCAGGCTGAATTTTTAATAAGTCATAATGTATTATATTAAAAAACTAGCATTTTTGGCTATTGAAGGTACTTTTCTAACCCCTCAGCCTACTGCTACTTCCAGCATGTTCAGTAAACTTAATTTCTTTCAAACAAATAAACCCAGAATTTTCTAAATAATTGGAATAATTCTTAAAAGCACCAATGCTTACATTTTTAATGTAACTCTTCCTGAAATATATAACATGCTTATATATTTCTTTGTTATGCATCTGCATATTGGGAATATTTCCCATTTCCCTAATGCTTAAGTGTCACTATAATGAATTATTAAACACATGTCTGGATGCCAATCCTGGTTGTATTTTTTTTTTTTTTTTTTACTAATTTTGGTACTTTGTTCAAGTTACCTCTTTGAGTCTCAGTTTTCTTATTGATGAAGTAAAAATAATCACAGTCATCTGGCATGGCTGTTAAAGATTGGTATTAATAGGGTCTAAATGGTGATTGATAAATTAATTTGTTCATGATGTGTACGTACATCAAAAACGAAACAAGCAAGCAAGCAAACGCACACTGCTCTGCAATGACGCCTTGGGATCTGTACAAGCTGGGATGGTCATCCATTCCTCGCCAAACAGCCCCAGACTGCTTGTTCTGTCAGAGTGAGTCATTACATAGCCTGACTTAGTTTCTTCCATCATCAGATTGCAGGCCCATGTGCCTTACAGTGTGGAAGTCCACTGTCCCCCGAGGTTTGACTCACTGGTGACATAAAACCTCTCGAGGACAGAGAAACTGGGTAGCCAATGCTCCCAAGGAGAATATGCAAGTAGTAGTCACTCCCACGACAGCCTTCCCTGTGACATGGCCCAGACTGACACCATCCCTAGCTGTCCCAACCCAGGCAGGAGTCACTCTCTCAGCCAACAGCTGGAGAGTTATAAAGGAGACCGCCGCCCCTGACCACTGCGAGTTTATTCTCCAGCATGGGAAACAGGACACACACAAATCCGGCAGCATGAGGTTACAATCATCAAGTGATGTTCTCCTCTGTGTGGCTTCAACTTGAGGAGGCTCAGACTGGATTTGCAGATGGATGCTGGGTACACAGCTGGGCAGGATAGGCTGGGGGCAGATTCTTCACGGAGATTTTATTAGCATCGAAAAGTGGACCTGGATAAAATGGCAGGCTTTGGTTTCTTGGGCACAGCCATTTTCTCTATGCAATAGGGCTGTGATCAGGGTTATGTGCAGAAGAACACCTCATTCTGTCAGAGCGTCGATAGACTGCAGCTGTTGGCACCTACATTCTGTTGCCATCATTATAAACATTGGGTTGGTTTAGGCTCCTGGCAGGGGCAAAAAGCCTCATTTGTGAATGAGGGCTGTGATCATAAGGTGAGACCTGACAGGAGCCAGAGAACTTCCCTCCCTCCTCAGCAGTATGTCCCAGGCAGATCTGAACCCCAATCCTTGTACATAGAATACAAGTTCTATGGCAAAAACTAAAGTCCCTTCCCATCTTATGTCAAAGTTAAGGGCTCCCATCTAAGCAAAGGTTCAGATAGCTCAGGTGAGGTTGAGAGCGCCCCTCCACCATGAGGAAGCGATCACACACACACACACACACACACACACACACACACACACACACACACACACGAGACACACATTAAAAACAAAACAGAAAACCTAAAGGACCATTTCAGGCCCTCCAGCTTTACTGCCAACACACAAAGGCCCTCTCTCACACCCCGGAGGGGCAAAGCTGGATAAACCCTCTATCACACCCCTGAGGGGCAAAGCTGGATAAACCCTCTATCACACCCCTTGAGGGACGAAGCTGGATAAACCCTCTATCTAAGCCAGACCCTGAAACTTGCATTTCCCCAAGAATTTGTTCCCCTAAATTTTTCTAATTATTATGAGAAGGAGGAAAAAACCCACATGAGTTGCTTTGCAGACATCATTTCATTTATTATTCATATCAACCCTGCAGGGTAGGAGTTGAGCCTCGTGGCTTGTAAGCAAATCTCGGAGAAGCCCAAGATCCCAGAGCTAATCTCTGCCTTTCGTGGGAGGCCGCAGTGACTTGATAAGAAAATTCCAATCCCAGTCAGTTTCATTTTCCTTATCACCTGACGGCAGCTCAGAGAACCAAATACTTTGGGAACAAAGACTTCTGAGATCAGAACATACCGCAGCTAAGAGGTACCACATGGCATGCAGTCTAAGTGACCCTGAGACCTGCTGGAAGGGCTCCATTCCCCATATCCCATGAGAGTCTCCATTTGCACACTGGTCCTCCTGGGCAGGCCAGGGAACCAGCTTCTGCTAACAGGACGTCATGTCTCATTTAAATTGTTAAAGAACTTCTAAAAACAGAATCATCAAACTTTCAGCTGTCAGGGAGACAGGAAGTGGGATTGAACAGGCTGGGAGACACACAGTAAGTCTCTTGGCCAAAGCATCCCCCCCACCCCCCCCCCCCCCCCCCCCCACCCCCCCCCCCCCCCCCCCCCCCCCCCCGCATAAAGGGACCCACAGCGAGAGTCTCTGTGAAGACCTTTTATACAATTGTATGTTGGTCACACTTCCAGCCATGTGCAAAGGACCCACCCAAAGGTTCCCAGGAGGCCTCAGCACATAACAAGAATGGGAACGCCAAATGATGCTGACGAGGAAGGATTATTTCAAAGAGTCATAGGGCTATTTTGGTACAGATTCAAATGACAGGAAAAGCTGGGTCTGGTGGCACAGACCTGTCATTTTTAGCCATTTGGGAGGCTGAGGCTGGAGGTTTCCAAGTTCAAAGCCAGCCTGGGCAACTTAACAAAACCCTAAACCCAAACAGACAATAACAAAACGGGGTACATCTTAGGGGTAAAGTGTCTCTTCAGTGTGGGCCAGACCATTCACCAAACCCAAAACCAAACAAAGAGTACATACGTTGGAACAGTGCAGCGAAGTCCTGCCTTCCTGCAGCCCCCAGAGAAGGTATGCTCTTGGCTTCTGGACCCAGGGCATGTCTCTGCAGTCTGATAGCAACCTTGGTTCCGTTTCCTGAGTCTAACCTGTTTCTATATACTTCAAGTCTCCTTTAATTCCAAATCAATTTCCTCCTCCTCCTCCTCCTCCTCTTCTTCCTTTTCCCTCCTTTCCTTTCTTCTTCCTCTTCTTCTTTCTTCTTCTCCTGCTCCCCTCCTCTTTTGTTTTTTGTTTTTGTTTTTTTGAGACAGGGTTTCTCTGTGTAGTTTTGGACTCTGTCTTGGATCTCACTCTGTAGCCCAGGCTGGCCTCGAACTTGCAGAGATCCACCTGCCTCTGCCTCCCGAGTGCTGGGATTAAAGGTGTGTGCCACCGCCCAGCTCCCCCCTACCTTTTAAGAAACATCCAAGCCGGGTGGTGGTGGTGCATGCCTTTAATCCCAGCACTTTGGGAGGCAGAGGCAGGCGGATCTCTGAGAGTTCAAGGCCAGCCTGGGCTACAGAGTGAGATCCAGGACAGACACCAAAACTGCACAGAGAAACCCTGTCTCAAAAAACCAAAAAAAAAAAAAAAAAGGCACATCCAAAGCAAGCAAACACCAAGAACCCCACAGCCCAAATACAGAATGTCATATCCCAGAAATACACCTTAAGCTGCATGGAAATTAAGTATCTGACAGTGTACTAATCTTAAAAACTTACCAGAGCATAACACTGAACCTTTGTTAATTTGAGGACATGTTAACTAAACAGTTAAATATTTGTTTGTTTATTTGTTTTGGTGTGTATTTGAACATGTTAAAAACAAACCTTTTAGTGTAGGAGTTAAAACAAAGAAAAATATAAAAGCAACTTCAGGCAGAGGAAACAGTTTAATCTGT